ATAAAATAATATTAATTTACTATTCTATTTATGTCCAAGGTAATATTGACTCGTAAGTTGTGAATAATTACTTATTTGCATTTTAAATTTGGCACTCAAATTTGAATTACCCATAAGTATCCTTATAAAATTATATATATAAATATCTATATTTTAATAATCTCAAAAATCTATAGATTTTTTGTCGGTTACCATGTCGTTCAAATTTATCAACTAATTCTCTATAATTAAATTACAAATTTCAGATTTTATTAACAAATATTTGTTCAAAGATATTTCTTATTTTCAAGAAGAATACATACCAATTTATCTAATTATCATCAATATCTTATGATAAGTTATTATGGGAATCTGCTAAAATTTGAGAATCATATCACCTTGATTTTACAACAAAATAACCTAAAATTCGATTTTCATACCCATACTAAATAACCACCCAATTTTATTATAGGCAAATATTTTAATATTTCTAACAAACTAAATTTATACTATTATAGCTTAAGCAACACGAAATATTTACGTTGCGTAGTGTAATAATCAAAATGCGATGAATTACGTTATAACATTTTAAAACACCTATTATATAAAACATTTTATTCATATGGCAATTATAGGAACTAGGACAACACCCGTGTATTACACGGGTGCTAATTTTTTCTTAAAATCTAAAATTGATGAGAAAAAGTAGTTTGAAAATTTAAATACCTTTTATAAGAATATATGTTATTATATATTTATTATGACACTTTTTATTTGTGCGACTTACTTGTGTTATATTATACTAATTTTTTTAACTTACAATATATAACTACATTAAATATAAATATATCAATTGAGAAATAATTTTATTTTTCTAATGAATTTTAATAAATATTATTATTTTTTATTATTATAAAGATAAATATAATTAATTTATTTCATATATACAATATGGATGTCAAATCGAAGATCATCTAAAGATGATTAATTTGATATATTATATATGTAAAACCGATAATAAATACAAAAGTTATCAACTTTTAAAATACATTTATAATTCAATAGCTTATTGAAGGAAGCAAATCAAATTTAGAGATATAGTAGTCACTTAGTGCCTCACTATGTAAAATTACAAAGAATTAAAGGGTTATATTAGTAAAAGTGATATTAAAATACCTAAGTTAGCTAAATAATATTTATGGAATACCCGAACCTAGATAATTAATTATTAGTATATTAATATTATTTGTCCAAACCTAATTTCTAAGCATGATTCTTCGCCAAATAAGCATACGAAGCATCAGAAGCAGCCACGTAGGCTCAGCGCATTCTGGAATTATATATAGGGAGGATGTATAAAGTATATTTAATCCAAAGTGTATCATTCTCCTTAATCTATCCAATTCTATAAATAAAACTATAAAATCAAAGCTATTTTAATATATGGTAGGCAAATATATTTATTAAAAATAATTCGTGTATTTTTTTATTTTTTTTTTAAATATAAGTTTGATTGAGAATATATGGGCCTTTTATTTCAATTTATTTTAATATATGGTAGACAAATATATTTGCTAAAAATAATTCATGTATTTTTTTTCTTCTAAAATATAAGTTTCATTGAGAATATATGGGCTTTTATTTCAATTTATATACTATATTACCAAAATAATTCGATATCATATCCTTTCTTTCTGAATCTCCCTGAACAAACCTGTTTTGTATATACATAAAGATAGTCATTATTTTTTAATAAGCATGTTTATCAATTAATGGGAGTGTAAAATTCTACCAACACCCCCTCCTCTACCCACGATGAGCACATGTTAATATGTCCATCGCTTATATGGCATACACGCATTGGTCTGATATTTTTTATTCTTTTTAATATATTAACATCACCAATGAGTACATGCCACATAAACGGTGGACATATAATATGTTTCCACCGTAGGTAGGAGAGCATTACCGTATTCTCCAATATATTTACTTTTTCTTTACAGTTTTTTTTTTTTTTTTT